CCATTTCTGGATTCGACCATGGCATGCGATATAACAGAAGTCTGATTTCTTTTCTTATGGAGTCTAGAGAAAGAGCTACAGATGGATGATCAAACAACGTGATGCCTTAAACACTCAAGGGAGAGCTTCTGAACCCCTCATTTCTGTGGGCAAATGGCTGTTTGCCATTTCTTCCATTTTGGCTTTCCGCTGTGAGCGCAGCCTGTGTTCGAGCTAGCCTAATTGCTACAATTAACAAAATTAAATGGCTCATTGTGTTTTTATACAATTCCGCCCACATTCTGTGGAGTTTCACTGTCGAATGAGTAATCCTGTTGAGACTGTTGATCACAGGCACACGCTAGTCTTCCTGTGTGCCCATTTCTAGGAGGGCGACTGGACAGGACATGCGTGCCCAGAGAAAGCTCTACCGTGGACAGTGCAGCCCCTCTGAGTGAGCAGAGGAGACACAACCCAACGGCTGAGCTCACTTCATAGCCTGATACAGGTCAGGGCCGGAGACTAGGAAATGGAGGTAAGGTGCTGGTGGGGGGGGTGGGCGCTAGAAGGGAATGGCCCATCCTTAGCCATGTTGGAATGCCCCAGCTTCAGATGGGGAAGAGGGGGGTTTTGAGTCACAAGCTGGCAGAAGCAACCGTTTTGCTTGTTTTCAGGAGTGACACCGGATTGCTGAAGCTAAAGGGACGTGAGCTGATGTGCTTCCATCGCTGGATGTATAGAAACAACCACCTCAGTTCTGCTGTGCATTTCAACCATCCTTCAAGCTATACTTCCGAAAGACAGTCTGAGCTGTTTGTAAACAGGCTTTAAGGAATTCTCCTTAGAAACATAAAAATGCAGGCATATCATCCAAGCTTTATATAGAAACAGTAATGGCTAATGGCAAAGATGTAGGGGACTGCAGAGAAGCACATATGTAGTCTAGAAAATGGTTCATTAGGAAAAAAAAAATGGATCCTCGTCTACACATTGGGGGAGAACTCGCTCCACTCAATGGCATTTGGCGCGTTTAAAGGCAAGTGTGCAATCTTGCACAATTCCTGGTGAGGACACAAGAGTTTTTCTTCGCTCAATTCAATCGGTTTGGAGAAAGGAACTTTGAGATGATTCAAAACTATTCTATTCAGCTGCTTAAAAGATGAAATCTTTCCGGAGTGAGACGGCTTATTCAAGCTGAAAGCGTTAAATTGCACCTGGGTATTTCCCACAACATCACAAGGATGTTGACGTCTTATAGACAGGGACTGTCAGCTCGGGCCAAAAAGGAGAAGGAAAATATTTGGTCAGTGCTATCATGTCACTTATTCACAGAGCAAAAATAAATCGGGCATTTGGGAATTAAGCATATATACTTCATTATACTTTACTCTTCAGGTTATCTTTGTATTTTATATTGTGCTAATACTCGAATTGCATGTGCTTGCCAAGTCAGTAAGAGAATTTCTTTCGTTTGTTGTGAGTAGTAACTGAGCGTCTGCAAAGTCAGTGTCACTGAACTAGCCGGTACATAGTTACGTAGGACAGCATCAACGGCTAAGGGAATTGAAGAGACAAGAGTCATTATGGGGGACCAAACTGTGACTTACATGGAAAAAATTTGTTTTCTTCCACGCGAATACTTAAAAGTCTCAGTATGTGAAGCTACGTATGTTCTTTAATCTTACATGAGGTTTCATGTCGAAATGCTAAGTTGAAAGTGAAAGAAAGGTATAACATTTTCTTTTAGAAAATTTTATGGTCCAGTGCAAAAAGGGAATGCTAAGCGCAGGACCCCTTCCCCGGCCAAGAATCCGAGTAGACTCAGGCACAGGAAGTCTGATCCCACAGAGAAAGAACCCAGCGCTTTCAATCTGTACGCTAACCAGAGTATTGTTCCTTTTTTGGATTCTCCAGTTACTGTCCGTGGAGGGTTTCACGGCAGATTGAAAATGAAATCTTAGGAAGAACTAAAACACAAGCACAAAAATCCAACTTTGTTCCTTTGTACATTGACAATGTCTCTTTAAATCCTAATACTTTAAACTCTCTGTCATCTGTGTATCTAGCATCTAATAACAGTTCCTGTCACTGCACAGTCTGAGGGCCCTGCCATGCTCTTCTCGATCATGGAAACAAGATTAAGTCATGATTTTCCTGGGAGGTTGAGGGTTTTGGTTCTTGTACTCTGAAGAAAGTTTGGAGTTTGTGGTGGAGATGTCATTTACTTAGCAAGAATTTTTGACTAACTGAAACATCACACTCTTCAAGTATGTTGGACAACAGAGTATTTCCAGTATTTGGGAAATCACGGAAAGATGAAGATTTCTTATGCCCTCCTAAAACTGCATTCTGACCTCCAGGACGAAGCACAGTACATCACTGTTGATTCACAAAGCACTCATTTTGACTCTTAACGTGGTAAAGGAGGGATCAAATTGAGAAATAACTCAGGACTTACATGACTGAGGAGTGGTGGGGCCTGCTGAGTTTGTGTCGATTGACGCTATAATTGTGATCTGTTATTTACTCGTGAAATCAAAGGTACAGTTCAGCTGAGCCATTCAGTTTCCAAAGATCATCACTTACAAGTCTTCTTGGAAATAACGAAGCTAATAACTCATGGTCCTGCACAAAGATGAAGAGTTTTTGCCAATGTAATCACGTTTTCCTTCCACGATGGGGGGCGCAATGTTTTCACCAGTCACTGACAAGAAGAGCGTCTTCCTGGGCCTTTGCTGGCGACCGGGTAAACTTTTCACATCCGGACAAAAGATCATTGTTTTTTAGTGGCAATCTTGCTTGGAGGATGAAATCATGGAGTACTAGGGAAGCACGTCAAGCGATAAAAAGTCATCTATTTTGAAAACATTGCTCTGGGGCTTTGTACCAAAAGAAGTCCTAGGTTGAGCGCTCTGCCATTTCCTGTGGATGTCACGGGGACAGCAGTCTCTGTAGGACCCACCCATTACAGGTGGTGGCTCTAGAACTTGACTATTTTAAGTGGATTGGACAGTCCAGATAACCGAGCAATGAAGTTAAACGGACTTTTCCCCTCTCTCTCTGTCTCTCTCTCTCTCTGTCTCTCTCTCTCTCTTTTTAGTGACTTGGACTAATATTTAATATATCACTTGGGTTAATATAAAACCAGGGAAGGAAGTTTAAGACATCTTCCACTGTGGTCAGGTTCGTGATAATGGATGGATGAAAGTAATCATTTACAGCTTTCACATCCTGGGAAACATTGGCCAGTCTTGACAAGCCCTTTCTAGGTAAGCTGATTCTCTTGTCACCTGATATTCTGATAGCACCCCTGGCCAGGTTCCTGGGGGCACCAACATTGCAAAGTAGGGTGATCTTCCAAGAGACAGGTGTTCTCAATCCGCTGAGGCAGGCTGATGGAATTTGTGGACCAGTTTCGGACATCCCAAGGAATGATGACGCTTAAAGTATTTTAAACGATTCCAGGTCTATAAAAAAAGTGATGATGCCTACATGTATACCCTATATTTTTTTATTACAAAAATATTGAAATAATCCATGAGTTATTCCACTCTGCACCAACTATAAAAAAATACTATCAAAGTTTGACCGGCACTTTTAATGCAACAAAAAGCACCATGACCGAGGACACTGGGAACAGAAAGCAGGGGACGTTTACTTGCTGTACGGAGGTATTTAAAACCCAGAAGTTTGTTGTAAGAGTGCGACTTTACAAACGATTCAAATACAAATCTTAGCTGGATCGAGTGATAAGCCCTCAATCAGTTGGGAAGGGTTTTCTCGTAGCACGGTCACTGCATTCATTGTCTGCTCATACTTACTAAAAAGGGTCCCAAAGCCTCTAAAAGACACATCACTTTGACCTTGGATTGGGGGTGGGGGTGGGGGTGGGGAAAGTCTGTACACAGTGGGGAACTTGATGGTGCACTCTCACGTCCGCGTTTGGGGGAGGGGGGCTCAGGCCACTCGTTCTCAGGTGTTTGGGACTTGCACGTCAGTCCTGTGGTTGGACGGTGTTTGGCACTAGGTGGGTGTGGCCCGGCACGTGCTCACACGGAGCCACGCTTTTCCGCGTCTTGTAACATCCGGGTCAGCCTGTCCCTCTTCTGCCCCTGCACTTACATGCCAGTGTGAGCCGCACAGGCGGGGAAATCTGACGCTCGTTTTTGCCTTGTTTTCCCCGTGCTTCCTCTTCAGGGATTTATTACACGTCTGCAACTGAATACTGACTCGCGATCACCATTTCGTGTACCTCCCGAACTTCTCGAGCTCCTTGGCCTTGTCAAAAGCCACAGATGCGCTGCATAGGATTTCTGGCAGGAAGGATGTTCTCAACGGAAACTTGAAACGAAAAGACAAATCCTGAAATGTGTGGAAAACGAACCATTCCATTGATTCTAATACACATGTAAACAACAGTTGAGTTTGCTGTCCACTGGGTAGGATTTTCACACATGGTGTCAGTTTCCGAATGAGAATGGTCTATGACTTCTTTTCTAAGTGGTACTATTTGTGTTTTTTTCCTGGAGTCTTGAGGGATATGTTCTCTCTCTCTCTCTCTCTCTCTCTCTTTGTTTTTATATTCAGAATCAGAGCTTTGCATCAAGAAAAATCACCTAAGCTGTTTTGACAGAGGACTGGTGCCATGTGTGTATTAGCAGGTGTGTGCGTGTGTGCGTGTGTGTGTGTGTGTGACTGAATAGGTTTTTCTGCAAAGATCAGTTGACTCCATCAAAACACCCTATTGATTGGAGGCAACATTTTCCGTGATAATTGTACCCTCTGGTGGACACGCTGAGAGTGGACAGGAGGGCTGGTAGCAACGAGAAGTCCTCCTAAGCCGCCATGTTCCCTTCAGCTGCTGTTTGGAAAGGAGACCACAGCAGGGCAGCCAGCTGATGGGCGGTCACACTAAGCGCATTACAGCTCTCTGCCCTGGTCTAGGACGGAGTTTCATTATTGCCACGGCCCCGCTGTCACCCCTTCACCTGGAGGTTGTGGCCCCTCCAAAGCCTTCTATTTTATAAAGTGGTTTCATACTCCAGCCGCTCCTGAATAAGGGCATCATCTTTGTACTGCAGCCTTGGAGGAGACGGGGAACATTCAAAGGCTAAGATGGCCTTCCGGAGGCTTCGGTCCAAAACGTGTCTCTCCCACGCTGGGTACCTATTCCTGAACAGGTCAATTTTAATGACAGATTCTTCAATCCGTGGTGGGCGAGACGATGGGGTGGACGGGGCCGTGGGCCTCACCTGAAAGACAGGGACGCACCCGTCCCGCTCTGCAAATTTCTGGTCGCGGTCGCTGGCGACACTGCGGTTGTTGGAGATGGACCGGAGCGTGCTCGTGGCCACCTCTGGAGGCAGAGTGAAGGCGGCGACTGGGTCCTCACAAGCACAGCTTGGTGACTGCCCGAACCTGGGTCCGTTGGGGTGAAAGAAGGCATAATACATCAGCATAAAAACGACGCCAGTTAAAAAACTGCTGAACACCACACACAGCGCCGGGATGGCAAACGCGTCTGCGATCTGGGGAGCCTTGTAGAGGTACCAGAGGGCACTCAAGGCTGTATTTTCCAAAAGAATCACAAAGTAGTAAACGAAGAGCCTACAGCGAGTCCTGCCTTCCTTGACGTTGAACCAGCTGAAAATGTAGATGATCCCCACCACCATGTCGAACACAATCTCTTCCCATTTGGTGATACAGAATTCTGTCTCACAGTGTACGATCCAGAAGGTCATGATGCACCAGTGGAGGACGATGAAGATCCCGAAGTAGAGCTGGAAAACCGAGGCGAAGAGGGCGAAGGTGATGACTCTGGCGGCAATGGTGAAGAAGTGCCAGCAGAACTGGATGACGACGGCCATGTAGCTGATGGGCTTCTTGTCGTCTCGAGAGTCCCGGAGGGCCTTCTGGTAAGAGGCCAGGGCCCAAGCCAAAGACACGAGGGAGGCCGCCGCAGTGAAACCTACGAAGGCAAAAGGGAAGACACTCTGTCAAAAGTGAGATGCAGTGCTGTGCCCTGAAGATGTCACGTGGAGCTGGGAGCTCGGGACAGGCTAACCGTGACATCGGCAAAGCTGTCCGTTTCTCTGAGGTTCGGTCGGGCTAAACACTCATGGGGGTCCTACTGTGTGTCTTCGGTGGGCCCCAGTCATACGGAGAGGTCATGCAGTACAAAGGGAATGCTACTCAAAACCAGAGAGGGGTGTGGGATCTGGAAATGGGGTGGCGGGGTGGGGGTGACTTTCCGTGTGCTGGAAATAAACTAAGGAGGTAGTTTTGTGCAGTGGGAAAATAAACACGGACTGGGGAGGCTGACAGAACTGGGCTGCTGTTTCAACTCTGTATGACTCTGGACAATCACTTCAACTGGCGTCCTCATCTGCTAAGTGGGTGATCTCCAAGGCTCCAGGCGGCTTTGAGATTCTGTGGATGAAAGGGATAAATAATCACCAGAAACTGGGGGGCGGGGAGGGGGGGGAGACAGCCGGTTTCCCTTCCTGCTTCTGAACAAGAATGAAGGCACTTCACTCACAAAAGAAAGTCCACTCTTTCTTACAAATAGGAGTCCATAAAACCTTCTTGGCAATGTTTCCTGTGGCCCCTGGTATGCAGTTTGTCCTAACAGAACCCAAATGTAATTCTCCCCGAAGCTTCTGTCTGTTCCTTACTGCCCTTCCCTTAGAAGAAGACGTTTCCCTTAGAAGAAAGATGGCTTATTCTTTCATAAAGATGGGACAGAAATCACCTCAGCTCCTTCTCCTATCATTTTATGGACCCCCTTTCGTTAGTACGCTCTCCAAAAGTGTGTCTGCAAGTTTCTAAAACGACTTGTATTATTTCCCTCCACTTTTGCTGCTTCTCCTGTGTCTGAAGCGTCACCCGAATGGTCCAGACATGGACAGAGCTCACCAGGAAAGGCACTGGCCTCCTTCAGGAGAGAGCCCTTTGGGGGAATTCACTTGGCCACTGAAATGTTAGTCAGTCTGCACACTACTCAACAAACTGTCACAAGACTTCCAGCGGCCACTTCTCATGTCCAGCCCCAATCAAGTTAGCAGAATGCCCAGATGTGCCTCCCAATCCTGAGTTTTGGTTTTCTGGCTCTGGCCAGTACAAAACACCTTCCATTACCATAACTCTCGGGCAGGTATGGCAACACTTTAGGTCGGTTCAAGGCCAGTACGCAAAGGAGGTTTTAATAATACAATTTCTTTTCTTTTTCTTGCGTTAAAAAAAATTTTTTTTTTGCTGCTTTCTTTTTTTCTTGGCTGTTCGGTTTTTTAAATGATAATATAATTTCTATGAGGTAGAAAACACCCACACCAATTGTAAAGCAAATTTGGAAGGTGAAAAGAGAGGGTAGGAAGAAAAGTTAGAGAAAGAAGAAGGTGCGACAACGGGAAGTAAAAGGTCGTGGAATGACGACTCTGGGAAGGACACCCTTACTTTCAGTTGAGGACTGAAGACCAAAAAGGTTGTGCCATTTTAATGCCAACCCCTCTGAGGGGCACAGAAGCGGCTCACGACCTCGCTCCTTATCTGCACCATTTGCCATGGTACAGATTGTTCTGGAGAGTATTCCTTGTGCGCGTACGCCGCGCCCCCGGGCAGGTGCAACACCGGAAAGGTCCTTTCTTTTTCACACCCCGCGCTCGCGCACAGCGCCACCTTCAGGAAGACGGCCACATTGTTGGGCAGGTGGATAAAGCGCGAGGCGACTCGGGGAGTCAGAACCATCTGGGTACCACTTTTCACAGGCGTTCTTAAAGGCTGTTTTACAAAGAAGTGATAAATAGTAAAAAAGCCAAAAACCACACCTTACGTACGCCGCATCATAAAATCATCCGTTGGCAGATGTAAACCAATTGGAAAACGGACTCCGTCCAAATTCCCCGGGAATCTTCACCCCTTTTATTCCATGTCCCAAGAAAGCAATCCAGCCTGCTTCAAGACACTCCAGGAACTTGTTAAGGCAATATTCTGGCAGTAGAAAAGTAAGTTCCTCTCAGCTTTGCTCTCAGCGTATCTTACGATTTAAGACGTAAACTTTTTGCCTATAGCGGAGGCCAATTTCGTGTCCATTTATGACCGCTCCCTTCGTGAATTCTCTGCTTTAGCAACAATTAGAATTTCCCTGGTTCATTTGAGGTTTTTTTTTTTTTTTTCCTTCTGCTTAGCAGTGAATTTCTATAAGACAAATAATAGGCCTGAACGGAAGATATGGGGCAACCTTAGAGTTATTCCTTATTACAAATTCACACCCCCATGAAGTGCTTAACGGAAGAATTGCAAAAATAAAAATAGTACGTTGAACACCTATATACTCTTTGCCAGGATTGTCATATGGCTTCCTTTGCTTTATCACTGCCCACCCCCACCCCTCTTTTTCTCTCTGAACCATTTGAGAGTAAATTGCGTGCATCTAGGCTGCTGTGGTCTGAATGTTTGTGTGCTCCCACGTCCCCCTCCCCATTCATGCGTTGAACCCCTAACCCTTAAAGATGATGGTATTAGTAGGAGGGGTCTTTGGGAGGTGCATAAATTATGAGGGTGGGGCTGTCATGGATGGGATTTGTGCCTTGTAAAAGAGGCCCCAGAATGCTCCCTAAATCCCTTCTGCCACCTAAGAATACAATGAGAAGTCTTCAACTCAGAAGACAGCTCTCACCAGACCATGCTGGCCATGATCTTGGACTTCTAGCTTCCGGAACTGTGGGCAATACATTTCTGCTGTTTATAAACTACCCAGCCTGTAGTATTTTGTTACAGCGGCCCCAAAGGACTCAGACAATGGTCCTTTACCCTATTTCCTATGAATAGGGGTCTTCTTTTAGATAACCAAGTACATTTGCCAACGTTAGTGAATTTAACATTGATACCATACTTTTTTTTTCTAATCCACCATCAGTATTCTAATTTCATCAGTTGACTTGAACAACGCCCATCGTAGGATTTTTCCCTGCGGTACAGAATTGAGTCTGGAATCGGAGATTGCGTTTAGTTGTGTCATCAACTTAGTTTTCTTTAATCAGGCATATTTCCACCGACTTTCTTTGCCTTTTTGACATTGGCATTGTTTTGGAGGCACAGTACCTAAAAGAAAAGAGTGTGCCTTGTTTTGGGTTTGTCTGTTTCCTCACAGTTACTTTCAGGTTAGGCCTCCCGAGCCAGAATATTACATAAGTGACACTGAACAATAATTCTCCCCCGACACCATTAAGATATTAAAATATAAGGATTCCTTCAGTAGTCCCAAGAAGCATGTAATGTGTCCGTCAGCATTTTCTTTGAAAGTAATGAATAGCGTATCAGTTATAAAACTTCACTCTGAAATCAAACTCTCAAAAACAGAGGACTCAGTGGGATTATATTATTTATTAAAATGTTAAAATAGGTGATGAGACCTCAGAGCTTGTCTACTGCAATGATCTATCTTATAGAAGCGAAACCGTTTCCCTCGGTGAGGTTACGCGATTTGTCTTCCCTCGTTCCTTCCCCACGCTGGTTTCTGATGAAAATTATCCTTCTGCCCCAAAGCGAACTCCCTGCGTCCTGGAGAAAGGACCCTCTCAGTTATGCCCTGTCTCTATATTCCAGCCCTGCGTCTTCAGGAGCACAGGATCCCCAGGGATCACAAACAAATGACGGGCCCCCTTTAACCTCAAGAATCGCTCTTCACTTGATTGAATCTCTTCTTTTTTTTATTCCACACCCTTTCCCATTTTCCCTTCGATTCCTCGTTTCTTGTTTCTCCATTTTTATCGGCTCTTCCTTGAGATTACTGGCACGGGCTGGGATGCTGGCCCTGGGCCTCCTCCTTCTCAGCCCCTCCCTGAGAGACTCCACACCTCCTGAGTTTCCCAGTTCTCAGCAAAGCCATCCCTGAACCAGATGTCTCCAGCCCCAGAGCCGTGTGTCTCATTATCTACCCGAGCACCCCCAGGCCTACAGTCTCCATGTTCCAGGTCCACAGGATCGGACACCTGGAAGGATTCTGGCTGTAGATGACAGTGTTTGCTTTCTCGTGGAAAGAAGACAATTCTTCTTCGTGTATGCTCCCTGTGGTTGGTGTAGCGCCCTTCTCAGAATGCGAGAGGACGTAAATATCCGGAGACGCAGCCACAGTTCTAAGAAGGTGATTTTGTATGCAGCTTGCCTGAGAAATACCATATTGCCAAGCCATCGGAATCCAAGAGTTCACAACCTGTGCCCTTTGGGTGTGTTGCATCTGAAGGGATCCAGAATAAACCACCGTGGCATAACAATTATTTAAGCTGAAGGCATTTGAGTTCCTGGAATCTCCCGCACTTTTGAGAAGGCATTTGTTCTCCCCGAAGTATCCCTCTGCCCCTCCCCATTCCCTACTAAGGTATATAAACTCCAGGGTGCCTGGGTGGCCCAGTCAGTTAAGTGTCCAGCTCTTGATTTTTGCTCAGTTCGTGATGTCATGGTTCAGGAGTTTGAGCGTCACATGGGGCTCTGCACTGACTGCGGAGCCCGCTTGGGATCCTCTCTCTCCCTCTCTCTCTGTCCCTTCCCCTGCTTGTTCTCTCTCTCTCTCTCTCAAAAATAAACTTAAAAACAAAGATACATAAACTCCAAATTCTAATGACCTCCTCAAGTCACGTTTCCTTGTGAAAACCTGTGTGCACACACAAGATGACATACATGTCTTACATCTTTACACACGTGATTACATATGTAATTAAATCTGCGTTTGGTCTTGCTAATCTGCCAATGTAATTTGCAGGCCCTCAAACAAAGACCTAAGAGGGTAGAGGAGCAGTTCACCTTCCAGAAAACCTCTGCCTGCCAGATTGATTCTGGTTGACCCCACGTGTTTTTGTTTTCTCACTGCAGCCCAAACAACTGATCTGACTTTGACTAAAAGGGTTTAATGATCATAAAGTCAGTGTGACAGTTTATTCCATCATTTTGAGCTGAATGTGTATATTTGGATAA